GTTCACCTGAGTATAAGAAGTCATTCACTGGCAGAGCCGGCGCATTGTTGTTCCTCACTGGTGGACCTGGAGCATTGCCGGATCATCATTGGTGGAGCTAGGGCATTACTGATTCTTTATTGGTGGATCTGGTTCACTATTTGATCATCATTGCTGGAGCACTGGTGTTTTCCCACTGATTCAATTTCACTACTTGGTTGGTGACATAACATGGAGCCTGCTCCATGCAGATCCAGTCTCATGGCTTCAGAGACTCCAAGAATTCTGTTACAGAGACTTCCAGCCTCACCTTTTCATTAACAGGAGAACATGTACAAGGTCTCACACGATTTCTCACACACGGTACCATGAGGGCAATTAGGCCCCATGCTCAGAGACTGCTGCAGCAGAAGGGCTTTGATTAGCTCGGCGTCTGCAGGGTTTGAAGGGCCCTGAGCAATCGCTGGAGCCCGCAAGGGAGTACAACGAGCAGGACAGCAGGCCATCGAGCGCTCAGACAGCTACCCGCCCAGCGTCATCTCACCTAGACACCTCCTCTCTCATGCAGGCAGCATGTTGGTGGCCATTTTAATTATTCATTTTGTTACCAGGTGACCTTACCCACAGTGAGACACTCTGGGCTGAAGGGAAGATATCGCTCAGCTGAGACCATACAAGGACATACAATGAGTCACCAGAAAGGATGAAGTCAATACTATTTCCTACAAGAAATAAAATATCAAGTAGCCAAGAACAAAATACAATGCAAACCGATATGCTTGTAATAAGCTGCATTGTAAATAGAGAATACAGGGTATAGATATAGTAGAAAGTTTATTTTATTTTATGTTTTGATTTTTATTTTTTTATTTATTTATTTTTAATTAATTGCTTAATTAAATTTTTTTTTATTATTATTTTTATTTATTATTTATTTGTATTTATTTATTTATTTATTTATTTTTTGTAGTAGTAAGTTAACCACACGATCGTAGTGCTCAAATTAATCTGGTTTTAGAGCTAGGAAGCTACATAATAACTAAGGAGAGAGCTTCATTCACGCGAGCAAGGCAATGAGTCTTGGGTGTGCGCTCTGTCGTGGATGGATTCAGCAATGCTTACACACCGGGCACGGCCTCAGGACTAAGGCTTAGATAAGAATGATAGAGGTAGTTGCTTTATGTTTGCTGTATTGATGTGGCTAATTTCTTTTTAGGACTTTTGGCAAAGTGAATCGAATCAATGAATGCATGAGCCTGAATTTCCATCCACAGCGCCCCCTGCCGGGAGGGCTGTGCAGCCCATACTGCATGCGCCGTTATTGACGATGCATAGATGCATGCAGAGAGGGATATTGGTCTGACCTCCTATGACTCTGATCTGTTAACTGATTAAACACATACTGATGCACTAACCACTCTGTAATTTCCTGCACTGATCTCATTTCTGCCACACCCACTAATAATCGTGCTTATGACGCCCTAGCAACTGCGTCGGCTTGTATTTAGTGTACTGTGATAATGACAGTTCTGAACGATTCCTCCAGCTGGTTGCCAGACACTGAAAATGCACTGCTGAGCTGCAACACTTTCATGGGTCATGTGATCGGGGCCATTCCTTTGGTGGTCTGCCTCCTTCCTGGGAGCCGGCAGCAGAGAGTCTGAAATGTGTCAACCATTTTAATTTCAGGTTTACGTAAGTGGTTTGCATTTCAAACTACTGCCAATGCCGGCAGAGTTACTGTAATTTCCTCCCCAGGTGTGTCTTCTGGAGTCCCTGTTTCCCAAACTTTCTTGTACTCGACATTAACGGACCCCCACACAGCCGCCTGCCTGTCAATAATGTCATTAACTGGGACCCAGAGATGAAAAATCAGGGGACATAAATGTCTCTGTGTCCATGTCTGCTGAAGCGGGGTAATAGATTTCTTTAAGCATACAAAGATGAGAAATCAGATGACATAAATGAGAAAGAAACAGCGATTTATCTTCACGGCCTGTTGTAAATTAGCCGTGAATCATTTTTCATTCTATTTCTGGAGATAGATATTTATTGATCGATGCTGAGATGAAATAAAAGAAACTGGGCCTCTGTAAAGGGAGGACTGACTCTTGTTCTCCAAGCGGGGTCCGGTAATTTGATTTCAAATGGCCTCTACTCAATCTAGTTACCATGGCTGGGGCTGTCCTCGCTGATTCACTGCACCTAGGAGATGTGCTTTGAAAGATAAGTACGTGCACCCAGCAAGTGTGCCGTGGACGGACACCTCCCGCAAAGCGCTCGCCGACTTTACACTTCCGCTCCAGTGGAATTTTTAGGGCAGATTTGCAAAGGGTCTTTCAACAAGCGGGAAACATGCAAGCACCCAGCCGAGCCGCTATAGGTCATGATGCTGCGACGTTAAGAGGTGCAGCGTAGCAAAAGGAAAGGTGGCAGACTTCAAGCATCCACACTGATTACAGTAAATGTCCTGACTGGCAATAGCAAAGGCTCTTTCATCCTCGTTTATGAATGAGACTGCCCTAGCATTCCCCAGAGTGTTCATAGACTGCTCAACACCAGATCCAGTGGTTCTGGTGAAGCAATCATTAAGTGTTTCTACGTCAACCCAATATTAATTAAAGTGCAACACAAGAGCGTGGTCCTTGTGCACCAGAGGTGGTGACCTAGATCTGGGCATGAAAGGCAACAAACACGCTGACCAACCAAAGCTGGCTTGCTGCTGCTTTGACTGAAGGGGTCTCCATGCTCACTGATTCACATGCATCCACGAGCATCCCTGGAGATGCTCTCAACGGCATTGTAAGTAGATCACCAAGAGTTGGCTTCGCTTGATCCAAAGATGTTTGGCGTGTGGTTGTCAGGCGCCTGATGTGACTAACAGGTTTGTTGTTGCCCTGTTGATGGTTTAGGGCAAACGCTAATATCAGAGTAACAGTTGCTGTATGACTATGATTCCTTTTCTCCCGCATTCTCTTTTCCTCCCACTTTGTCAGGAAGTGGTTGACAGTTGATGTGTTCTCCTCTGATTCATGTCCCTGTGAGTGGCCCCCCTCTTGTTTTGTGCTCGGGAAAACTTTGGCACCACGCGAAAGCTGCGCACTAATTGGAGGAGCCACGCGATGCCCCCCCGCGGGCACTAAGGCGTTGTCAGGAAGATGGCGGGTCAGGAAAGCTACTTTTGCAGCAGCCGGTGGAGAAACTAACCTGATTTTAATGGCGTGATCTGAGCAGCTCACATTTGTTTTGCCACTTGGGGGGTGGTCACACTCACAATTAGTGATTGTATGCTTGTGTAATGCCTGATGTAAGGCATGAATGTTTTAGGCAAATGACCAAAGCTGAATGAATGTTGCCGATGAATGTAAATGAAGTTAACAGACATAAGCTGATCCACTCTGCTTTGGGTCTGTGTGTTGGGCTTGTGGTGACCCAGCAGGCATTGGGGTCCTGGACATGAAACACGAGTTAAGAACAGTGTGATGCCAGACTAGCATTACCACAGACAAAGATTACTTCAGACCAGTTTAAAAAAACAATCAAGAAATGGTTAACACTTTCTATTAAGGCATTGTCTATAAGAATCTATGACCACATTCATAACATATTATAATGCATTCATAAAGCATTATAAACATGGCTATACAATTTATAAAAAGGCATAACATATTATAGCCATGTTTATTATGCATTATGGCTGCCTTATGAAGCTCTCCACTATAGATAATTTTATAATGCAGTACAAAGGATCATTAATGCTTATATTGACCATTATAATGTCTTATGAAGGTGTCTATAGTGTATTGTAGGTGAGAGTAAAGTATTACTAAAAAAATAATGTAAACATAATCCCAAATCATCATGGATCATGTGAGCACAGACTGGGAACATCACAGAAAAGCATACATCACAGCAAGCAATGACACTGACAACGGATCAAGACCAGCACAAACATTCATCAATTCAGGCCCCCATCATTAGAAAAGAGAATCAAAACAGACTAACATGGTGACAGTGCAGCACTCAGGCACGGCAGAAACAGCTGGATGTGGATTAAAGTCAGGACCCCTCCTGGACCACATCTCCTGCTGTCCACTGCAGCAAAGCAGGCCACAGATTCTCTTGTTACATGGAAAAATCCATCATCTGGTCTCTAGTGCACTCATGTGCTACCAGTAGGCTGTGAGGCTCAACCGTGCTTTTCCGTAAATACTAGGGGGAGTTCTGATTCAGCTGGCTAATCATCACAGATAACACATTTGCAAGCACAAAATTGTCTCAACTGAGCAAATATAAATTTTAAGTAATTATGTCAAAATGTGTTACGCGGGATGAATTATTCTTTACATCTGTTACACCTAATCTAAGTATGTTTTAGCAGGATGAGCATCGACTGTTGAATCAGTCAATCAAATTTTATTCAATGTAGCAGTTTTTCATTAAACGTTGTACAACATAAATGTTTTCAGGAGGAAAAAAAAATATAGGGCAAAATATCAATTATTTCCTGACCACTCGGAAAAAAAAATGCTCTGGGTAAATGAAAGTCGTACATGTAGAGTTCACAGATCAGATACACCCGCGGTAAATTACATCTGACAGTTCCATTGTGGCTGAGGGTGGTGCAGGGCTGGTAATTACAGTGGGATAATGCAGGTCGCTTATGGAGGCGGCGCTGAGGGACCACGTTGGGCTGCAGACATTTCTATTGATATGACTGCAAGTCAGATGTCCATAGATGGTTTGTGGGCTAAACAAGAATGGCCACAAAGGGGAGATTAAGTAAAAAACAAAGACTAATGTAATGAATTTAACAATAATTTGTGGCACCATACAGATTATCTAAATGCACTTGGGCAAATTAAGGTAGGTACCCCGCCCCCCCCCAAACAGGGGCAAGATGAACACCCTCCAAAAATCTGGTGACACCCTTAACATCTTTTTTCCATTTAAGGTGTATTCCACTTTAAGGAACAGGTTACAAAGGAAGTAGTTTACTTCCACTGTGTCTTCGCCTCTTATTTGCTCTGGTCTGCTCCTGTGCATGTGTAGTTTGTGTCTTTCTCATGGTTAGTTTTCTGTTTAGCTCATTATCATCATCTTCACCATCATCACTTTGGACTAAAGCACGTTTATTGAGAACATTCTGGGTTGTATCTTTCCAGGAGCCCTTGGATTGGCATCGTTTGGACTTTGTGTCGTTGAAGATATTTCTCAGGATGGCTTCTTTGGTTTGTAATTCTGTGTATATTCTTGTCATTGTACCTGCTAGCATTTGGATTATGAGCCTTTTTCTGTGCACCAAGGGACTTTTATGTTGTTGTGACATGTGTTGTGCTAGACTGTACATATATTGTGACCCACTTCAGACTTTAAATTTTAGTTTTATTACTGCGTTTCATAGGACTAATACAATTCAAAGTGAGAAGCTAGAGGGGTAGTAAGTTTTCTTCTTAAACAGCACCTGTAAGTAAGGGAGATTTTTATTTAAAGCAAAAAACATTAAAGATGTCTTTGAGTAGTATCCCTCTTAATCTTCTTGTAAGCATTCTGTGCATAAATAGTGTTGAAGTACCAAGATAGAGACACCAAAGGCACAGAGGTATAATGAAATTTGAGGCTGTATATGACTATGACTGAATCCTGACATGCCCAGCAACAAATCACGGTAAGGCAGAGCTAATGGGAGGATCAAATATGATGTTAGGATGACAGCTCAGGCTGCTTTTTTGACGAACAGCTCTGTAGTCAACATTTCTCCTCTACTCAGTGCCCTTAACTATTACCGAACAGCTAAAAGATTGAATATGAAAGATGAAGTATGTCGATCTTCACTGTGTGTGCAGCAGCTATAAACAAGCTGCTACAATATCCCATTAAACGGGGATTTCTTATGCACTAAATGTAATCTTAAAATAAAAAGGAATGCAGTGAAAAAGGAGGAGTTTCTTTTTAGCAGACTTTTGTTTCCATGAAAGGAGTTTCTAAAAATCATTTTGGGAAATGCTGCCAAATTTATCAATCCGCGGACTGCTCTATAGCAAACCGCAGAATACCAGAAACAGGAGCGTACCTGTTCACGGAGGCTTGAGTGCTTTCTTAGGATATGCAGCATAAAACATGATCCTTAAATCTGAAAATACAGAGACGGCCCCACAATCTGAGGAGGCAAGATTAGCAGTGAAATGGCTGAAGCAAGACTGACGCGGAAAGACATTTCTGTGCTGGAGGATGACAGACAGTTGATGTACAATCTTTCCTAAGAATGGAAATGCTGAGATAGCCTATAGTTAGAAAGAAAATTGGAATTCAGATTAGGTTCATTTTGCAGAAGGTTTGATTACCATAATCTGTCCAGATTTGGAATCTATTTGAATTTATATATCTATGGTTTATCAGTTTTAGGATGAATCCCCTTAGTTGGGTTAGGACTAATAAACAAGTGGATAATTTAACTTTATAATTAGTGAAGTTAATTCACTCAATATAGAGTTTGTAATATATGTCTTGCAGCAACATCAGCAGCAGGTACAACACTGAGCTGTTTATTGTTACCGCCTAGAGACATGAATTGAATGTAATCTCTGCCCAGGAAATTAATGAACTCTACACAATTATGTGTTAAGTAACATATCCAGTAAGTTTCGCTGGCTGTCAGTTTGGCAGTTTTATATATAAGAAATCAAGACCTATTTCAGTCATATTTGAGAAGTTCAACAGTAAAAATATTTTAGAAATGTTACTTGGTGATCTTTGTGAGAGTTATGAAACACCTTAAAATGTGTCTTTTTTGCATTCTAATGGGGTAGAAGCCAACACCCTACTGTGATCATTACAGTTGTTTACTCATCTTCCATGAACAAGTACACAGCAAGGCTGGAGCCTGTCCAGGGCATCACATACTGCATCCGCATCCCAGGGTGCATGCAGGCTAATTTACCTAAACCACATGCATTTGCAGTACTAGGAGGAACTAGGGTACTTGGGGGGTACAAATAAAGGGAGACCATGGTATCTGCAGAAGCACAAAGCCCGGGCAGGGATACATGGGTCTGTGAAGCAACATCACGACTCACTGTGTCACTATGCATTCTGCTCCAGTACTAAGTACTGAGTACTGAGTACTGTTCCTACTATGTTGCCAGTCAGCTGTGATTGATGAGACATCATTCAAAGACGCTGGGGTCAAACTTGTGACAAGAGTGCAATTTTAAAAATAAGAATATGGTCAGACAGAGCAATGGCATTCTGGTGGACAGGCACATCATGAAACTATGAAATTTAAGATGTACTTATACTGTTGAGCTTAGTGTAGGACTGTTTTGTTCCAGAACCTTGTGAAAGCAGCCTTAGGAGTATCACTTTCAGTCTGCAGATAAACATTAAATACTCCCATTAATATAATCACTCCCCGGTTCCACCCAGCTGGCCCCGTTTATCTCTGACGAGGTAATCGTCCAATTGTACCAGCTGGCTTTCATAAACTGTGATGTCTGTAAGATCCGGGGTGGCATTGGTAAGATGAGACCGTCCAAACGCAGCCCCGTGGCACGGCCGTGCTTCCTGGGAACTCACACATGCCGTGCGAGATGGGAGAGGCTTCCCCTCAGAAAACCAGTCTGTAAAAGTTACAATATAAGGGCTCCTCTCAGCATCCAGGGACTCTGCGCTGACAGTCTGCTGCGTATTTCATCACTTCTCCGCATGGTTGTGGCAGAGGTGTGTTATTGACTGGGACTTTTTTCTTATTTGACACCTAGATCCAAAGTTTTTTTTTTTTTTTTCCCCCCCAACAAAGTGTATTGAAAATTTACATTTACCATTAGTGCGGTGTAATTAACTGGGGTCTTGCCCTGGGTTATTTTACCCCCCAAGGATGAAGATCATTATCAACGCTGTTCATCACTGTCCTCAGATTTCCCAGCAAGTAAATATGAGTCTTCAGCGCAATGTGCGCTGGTGGGTGGAGAATACTAGCTTTAAGTATGAATGGAGGACGCAGCAGGAAATGTGGCATTATGCTCCGTTCTCTGCTACTCATCAAGTGTGACAAACTGGGCTCGCTGTGACGGTGCCACCGGAGCTCGCGCAGGGGAGAGACCATCTGACGTGTGCCGCTCAGCCAAGCAGCACTCCCAGGCAGACCCGCTGTTTCCGACTCACTGATCCTGCCCAACAGTCTCCTGCTACTTCTGCACTTCCTGGTGGCGACACCAGAAGCCCTAACGGAAAAATAACAACGAGCACATTAAACTCTGTAGGCAAATAAAGGCATAAGAAAACACCAGGCCACCATAGAAGTGGGTATGTGAGAAAGGGCTTCTTGTATTTATGGCAGGATTCCCAAATCCGAAAGCTTTTTAATCAGAGATGGCATTCTGGCTCAGACCATATTATTTTTATTTTTTTATTTTTTAAATACCGAGACCCAGCTGGTCTAGTTATAGATCCTTCTGTAGTTACCTGTAGTATTTTCCCAATGCCTTTTTACTCTTATAACAGCTTCTCGTTAATGAACGTGAACAGCAGAAAGAACATGAACATAACAACAACCTCATTAACCCTGGAAGAATCATGAGACATATAGTCGAGCTGTCTTTGTTTGCTAAAGTCAAGCCTGTTTAAATTATCGGTCAATTTGTAGCAGTTATTTATGGATCGTTTTTAAATCACAGGAGAGGAAGCCCCATTCTTTTGGTTCCTTGGGAAAGATAAATTCCATAAATATGAAATTCCACTAATGTAAGACATTTCTATAGTAGATGTGTAAGCAGTTTCTGAAAATCTCAGAAGCTTGACTTCAAGGTTTTTTTGGAAGGTACAGTATATGTGTGATGCTGAAAGCTTGGTAGACCAGTGTGTGAACAGATCTGTTTGGCTGTGAGGAACTGAGCATAGTCAACTTCCTAATTACCTCAATACTAAGAGCCCACACAAACAGCTCCTTCAACACATTCGCTATACCTTCCTCTACCGACAGGCCAGCATATAGCAGTTACGCAGACCGGAGCTTTATGCCTTATAATCTGTCTTCGGTGTGGCGTTTAATTAACCATGCTTAGTCCAGAGCTCAATCACAGGTCATAGGCTTCTCATCAGTTTACGCCACATTTCTTTTTTCCCCACATGCAGGAAGCTCAGACCGTTCTTTCTTCATAATGACCAGACTGTACCCCCTCCTGGACTGGTGCTCTCTCTTGCTTGCTGAAATGTTTCTCTTTGGATTTCGGTTTTGTGATAAAGTTACTGTCGTGGCCTAAAGGCAGCGGCGACGGGCCAGACTGACAAACTGGCCTCCTTCTTATTTCAGAGGCTTTTTTGGGTTTTACATTGTGACAATGAAGCGTCACAAAGCTACAAATGTCTGCATTTAACAAGACCGGCTAATCAGCATAATCTGCAATCTTCATCGGTAATTTCATGCATGTACAGACTACCTTCAGTCCCAAAAAAATTTGTCAAATTGCAGTGCTTACAATAAAATTAATAATGAAATAAACAAATTCACAAAGCACTGTTCATAGCGATCACTCCAGGGATTTCATTATATTCTATGTCTGATGAACATATGCTGTAAAACAATTAACAAAGGGACAGGGGGTGAGTAATGAGATCAGTGAATAACTAGAATAAAGAAAAGCGGATACAGTGTGAAAAAATGGCATCTTTGTTGAGCTTTGTTTGCATCTATGGGTGGGAAGAAACTCACAAAGAAATGCGCGGTGTCCCTGGGTTGCTATGAGCTGGTGAATATTCATAAATACCATCATGCATAATAATGCACATAACATAAAAGGTAATTAGATCACACTGGAACAGGACTCCCACTGTAAATAAGTGTGGAGTTTGAGCTGAAGATGCGAGGCAGCTCCCCGATCCCTCAATCAAACCCCGTGTTCTTTCCCTATGGTCCTGCCTGCTATGCCTGCAATCTGGATGAAGGTGTGGGGGGGCAGCAGACAGCTGGTTAAGTTTAAGCTTGACTTTGAGTTGTGCACTGGTGGCAACAAAGTAGCTTTCCCGACCCCAAGAAAGGTATAAGGAAAGTGATGTAACAATAGACCACATTCTGATGTGACTATGAAGCTACTTGGGGTTCCAGTAGTTGAGTCACATTCAAATGTTATAAAGTGATACGTGCAACAGCATGAAAGCGTACATATTTTATGTGCATTTGTGCCGATATGACAAGAAATTATTGTGCATTTTAACCTTTATATGCTAATTCGTA